GGGTCTCGCTCTTGCTCAGGCTGGTTTCGAACTCCTGAGCTCAAACAATCCGCCCGTCTCGGCCTCCCAGAGACCTAGGATTACAGGCGTGAGCCACCGCGCCCGGCTGTTATTACTCTTATACAAGTGTAAGGGATACAGAGAACAGGTATCAGTGATTACAAATAAAACCGCCGTAAGTCTTTACTGGGTTATAGCAACTGGGTTTCAAACCAAAGGTTGCCACTGGTTAACATGAACCTTCAATGTGAACCTTCAGTATCCATCTAACTAGACTGGAAGTTCAAAATTGCAATGGTTTTCTGACTATAAATTTTTTTTAAGAAAATGACAATTTTGGTTTTATTGATATCACTTAAGATTCTTTCCCCTGCACCAATTAGAGGATTGAAGGTCATTTGGTATAGCTGAAGTATAAGCCGTTAGGGGAAGAGGCTATCCTACCCGTGGGATCTGGGGTATGAGGAAACCATCCCAATACTGTATTCTTTTGTCAATATATAAGCAATTTTGACCCCCAGCCTCCTTTGTGTCAGCCTTCGCTGGGCCCCTAAGATGATCAGAGCCCTCAGAAGGAAGCCCTGCCAGAGGGAGTTTATTAAGAATTAGAAACACTAGAACAAGGTCTTTATTCTCCAAACTCAAAGTAGAGATTTATAAAGTATTAAAATATGTCCCATGTCCCTAGAGGCAGAAGGACAGTGAGACTGACCTCCACAGGACCCTTCTGGCTTTCAGACAGAACCAGAATAAACGACCGTGGGGTAGATTTGGAATGAGCACATCCTGTGTGAGAGATGTGAGCTACTCAGACACACGACAGAGATTGGAGGGGAAAGGCTGTCCAACGAGCACATCTTTACGAGACACCCGGTGGAACCCTGGAGGGAGCTCCGTGTCGTACTGTCTCCTTCTAAATGGCGCTTGTCCTGATCTCAAAGCCAAGAGCAACCAAACCCCCTTTTCCCCAGCAGGAAAAATATTTCGTTGTGGGCTACTCTTCCAAAGGAAAGGCCTGGAAAATCTCGTCCTTTACTGTGCAGTCTGAGGAGGAAGGAGAGACGGCAAGAGGATATAGTCTGTACTGCTTATGTCAAAAGGCGACACTTATTAAAGATGTTTGGTTGAGACTTTAACTCAAGAAAAGAAAGCCAAGCCAGGATTCGGACTCTTATGAAATAAGGAAGAAAATAAATCAATATCCACTGCCGCTTTAACTCACTAGGGAAGCACCAACCTGTACCACGCTAAGGAGTTAACTGGAAGCTTCTTTCTCTCTTCCAAGAAAAATTTTCTTCTTGGTGATCTTTCCTCTACAAAAATCACATTTGGGTTTAATTCCGTGTTTTCACAGTCAGTAGGCTTTTGCTTGGAATGTTTCTTACTGTGTGTAAAGCATTCTGGGGTGATTATCAGCTCCAAGGCAACAGGAAATAGCAGACGATGACCTACTCCCCCCATCCACCGAGTTTGGAAATCGAATTGTAGATAATAGCAACAACATTTTTAACAGAGAGAGATAAGATGCAAAAAGGCATCTGCAAACTTCTGTTCATTAAACCAAAGCAGGAGAACTAGCAGACGTTATTTAAATAGCCTACCAGCTTCCAGAAAAGGGTCTATGGCCAAAGCCAGATATATTTAATACAACTGCAGCTCAAGTCCTGCTGCATCATCTCTAGTGAAGGCAACAAAGAAGGAAAAAAATGCCCCAGGGGTTGTTCCACAGGCATAGGGACCCTTCCAGAATATTATTAGGGAACTGTTAAATTGGAAACTGAAAAAGCTACATTCAGTCCCAAGTAAAAAGAAATATAAAATGGGAGGCTCCTCTATTTTAAAGATGTATCTCTGATTTGAATATTTTGCAGGGGAAGCAAGATGACTTTACGCAACCAATGTCATCAGCATGAGAATGTCTTCTGAGTGAGAATATCATCTTCAAGTCAGCGGATGAGTCACTGACTTACTTGAGCAACATGTAATACGTGACCTTTCCGGTCCAGGGGAATTTTTACAAGTCCTTGGATTATTGGTGCAATGGTCTTTAGTCTGGATAAAACATACTCATGTAAAATAGTCTTGATTTATTAAATGTAGGCATTAAAATAATGCATAGTGTCTTTGGCTTAAGTTGGCATTCTTAAGTTAAGGAATTGAGGTCGAATGTCAGAGCTAGGCTGTGCCAAAGCTTTGTGTACTTTATCATAGTGATGCAACAAAAACTGAGAAATGTCTGTGAAAGTTCAGCCTGCTTTGCTGTGCTGCTCTGGCACAGGCAATCTTGGCAAGCGCAATGGGGACGAGGTAGATAAGAAGAGAAACCACCCCTCACTCCACAGTGTCACGGGTTGAAATGACAACCCTTTAACTCGACAACTGTCTTGGGAATAGACTCAACTCTCATGGTCAGTATCTGGCAATGTGCTTACAACCCTCCCGGCTTTATGATTCACTGCCTGTTGCCTTTGGGAAACCCCTAATGGAGCACATCATGGGACAGACACTCTGAGAATCAATTCTAGGCTCAGCAGCCAGAGGCAGAAATGTGTATTAAAACTGGATGGCCAAGACCAGCCCGGGCGACATAATGAGACCCCATCTCTACAAAAAATTAAAAACTTAACGGGGCATGGTGGCGCATACCAGTAGGGAGGCTGAGGCAGGAGGATCACTTGAGCCCAGGAGTTGGAGGTTGCAGTGAGCTGTGATCATGCCACTGCACTACAGCCTCGGTGACAGAGCAAAACACAGTCTCAAAAACAAAAAACAAAAAAACTAGATGGTGGGTTTGGCCTTCATTGTTCAAGGAAACTGACTACATGAGCTATCAGAGAGAGGCATGGGCATGTGCTCTGTTTCAATTTTATTCTCCAAAACAAATCTCGACTAAGGTGTTCATGATTTAATGATAAGCTCTTGGAGGGCCCATCAGAGGAGCTGGAAAGGGTGGCGCTTTGAGGCAGAGGACCTGGCTCCTCTCATAGCACCATACCCACAGGAGCAACCATACACTCCAACCTCTGCCTTCTGCCAAGAGCCACTTGGGCTGCTAGAAGCAAAACCAAATAAGAAAAATGATATTTGTTTGCCTACCTTGTCGAACGATGGTGGTTGGCTCTCCGCCATGCAGACTGGCTCTTCCAATGGAAGGCTCGCTGATGTCTGTCCAGTAAACCATCTTGTCCACACAGTCGAACGCTAGTCCAATGATGACTTTAGCCTGGAAGTGAAGACCAGTGGTGAGAATGGTCTATCCACAAGAACCTGGGTAATTATTGTTAGTGAGAATCTTTCCATGTGCTTACAAGCATTTGGACATCTTTTTTAATGAGTAACTTCAAGTCTTTTGTCCATTTAAAATTTCGTATTATTGAGCTGTAGAGTTATTCATATATTTCAGATAAAACTCTTGTCATATACATACGCACGTATGTGCACATAAATACGAGGGCTGTCTGGAAGGTATCCAGCCATGTAACCGTTCTCGTTATATTAACAATGACTGGATACTTTCCGGACAGCCCTCCTATGTGTAGGAATATATGCATATGTATATTTCTTCTCAGTGTGTAGCTTGTTTTTTCTGAAATAGTCAAAACAATCTTAAAAAAAGAACAAATTTGGAGGATCCAAACACCCTGCCTGATTAGGTGAATAGATCAATGCGACAGAACAAAGAATCCAGAAATAGACCCTCACATAAGCAGTAAATTATTTTTTATAAAAGGCACCAAGGTACCAATTGGGAAATAGAGTGTTTTCAACAAATGGTGCTAGAATATCTGGATAAACATGTGGGGGA